AATTTAAGTGTGCCAGGTCTCTAACTGTATCTCTGATCTTTCGTTCGCTTTGAATACGTGATTATTTCTACATTTTATCAATTAATATATTACACTCGAGGGGATGGAACTTTTTGTGTTACAACAGCAAAATAAAACATTAATTCACCACAATACACCAAAACACTTTTACTGTTACACTGGACGAACGTTTCGATAACTATGTTATCATTGCTAGTCTTAATCATCTGCTGATGAACATGGTTAGCGAAACGCGCGTCCAGTGCAAAAGTAAAAGTGATTTGGTGTATTGTAGTGAATTAGTGCTTTATATTACCATTGATATAACTGTTTAGTAAAGTTCTTTGAATTACCAATATTTCGATTTTGGATTATTGTATATGTATGTGCTATGAACGAGACCAAGAGTATGATTGATTAATGAATAGCAAACAAAACATACACCGCGAATACTACTTCCAACTCAACAAATTCTTTTGTAGATGATCATTATAATTTAAATCAACCAGCCTTTTCAAACCATACAAATATGAATTCTTCTCAACAAAATGTGACATCGAATTTGACAATGACAAAATCATATTTTTGCTGGTATTTTAAATGTAGCTTTACTGTGTCGTATTATAAAGTTTAATAATTTGAAAGTATACGGGGTGTGCCTCAAAAGTGGCTCACTCCTATAACTTTTTTATTTTTTCATTTAAAAAAACGAGATTTGGTATGTTAATATATGACATAAATTAGAATTGATTGACGTATTCAATTGTTTTCGGTCACTTCTTGTTTCACCGGAACTTACTACAACTTTTGATTTTTAAATGGCACCAGCGGTATTTTTTTACTTTATTCGATAAAAAATAACACTCTGAATTGAATGACATATCATATGTCAACTTTTGACATTTGCGCATATGGTTTATTTGAAATTATAACTTGCGGTTCGTAACGAAAATTTGACTCGAAATATCGGTTAGGTTGTAAGGTTGATGTGGTATCAAATGATTCGTAAAAAAATGCTTTTTTCTAAATATGCTAATGAGCCACCCTCGTTCCATTTAAAAAAATTGATATATGATTAAAAATACGACTTGAGCATTTTCTAACTGCCCAGGACAAGACACTAAAAACATTAGACGATCAAATCTATTTTTCCAAGGTTCCTTGATTAAGAATTAGTGTTTTTAACATAACCATGGCCCTGTAGATTGAATTTTAAAATACTGAGAGAAGAGTTTTTATTAAGCGAGAATGTCAAAAGTTGACATATTTATGATATGTCATTCTATTTACAATGTCACTTTCTATCGAATAAAGTAAAAAAATACCGAGGGTGCCATTTAAAAATCAAAAGTTGTAGTCATTTCCGGTGAAACAGGAAGTGACCAAAAACAATTGAATACGTGAATCAATCCTAATTGATGTCATATACTAACATACCAATTCCCGTTTTTTTTTATCTAAAAAAAAATAAAAAAGTTATAGGGGTGAGCCACCCGGTATTTTTGCTAAAGTAAAATAAAATGCCGATTCTGCATAAAACAAATTTCTATGCGGAAATGCAACTTTAACGCGTAAAAAACTCTAATACAACTTGCTTAAAATCATCTGGGGAGATAATATTTGACCTTTTCAAAATTCATACGAGAGGTCCTATGTCCCGTGTTCCGATGCACCATTAGGTATAGAAAATAAGGTGTCTGAGGTAAAGCTATTTATTCTAATAAAGCTTGCCAATAATATAACTTCCGTAGAGATAAAAATAGACGCGGGAAAAATGTGTTTGTAGGTTAGTTAGTTGCCTGTTAACCGACACTTTAATTAGAATAATTATTTTTTCGTCGATCCGCCGATTGATTTTCGCGTGTAAAAATCGCGATAAGCCCGGCCGCAAACCGCCGCCGATAGCCATCGACGAATACACTTTTAACCCGATTGGAAAATGGGAAAATTTAATGGATACCGTGATATCGTGGAAAGTAGTAATAATTGGAACGAAGGGCATTAAAGTAAATGTATGGGGAGGTTGGATAATCACCGCGAAAATCAATGGAAAATCGTTTACATTCGACTTTTTTGTGGTAATTTAGTAAATTGCTGTTGAAGGGTAAATTTAATCAGTAGAAAAATCTTTCCACAACTTTGATAGCGAACACAATTTGTTTAATAGAGGAAGTTACATGTAATTTTTCATCCCCGATTTGGCCCCCAAAGTGGATGAAAGTTTTTAGTACACAGTAAAGTTTTTTTAATTTATTCAGTTGTAATGAATTTTTGTAAAATGTTTACACACCTCCCTCTTTTTGTTATTAAGTAGATGTAGTAGTACCAGTACAGATCTCATTTGCATGTAACAAATTTTCATACAACACTATCGTATCCCATTTTATCGACATTAAAATCCCTGCCATTTAAAAAAATCTTCTCTCAAATTTTTGTGCTTCTGATATCAGTTGTAATAAAGATTGATACACATTTTCATCCTCTAGGATGATTTTCAAAAATCGTTTTTTCGAGCTCAGTTGAAGGGTGGAAATACCAAAGGGGGTAAGTGCCAAATTTTTCAATATTAAGTTATTAAATTAGAAACGTAATAAATACTATGCTGCATGTCCTAACAAAAGTTACAAGTGCCAAGCGGAAGCGTCTATTTTTTATGTATATTATATACATATCTATGTATTTTAAAAGATATTTTAAAAATTTATTAGTTTCAGTTCTACTGTGTTTTTCTCATTTATCTCGAAAAAATAATTTTGGCACTTACCCCCTTTGGTATTTCCACTCTTCAATTACTTACACACTAGAAACACTTAGGAACTTTTGTACTTCTAGAATCGATTTTTAAAATTTTATACAAACATTTACCCCCTTAAGAAATACATTTTCAAGAGATATCGGTAATTAATCACATCTTCTGCAGAATTCAATCCCTCTATTAACTTTATATTATAAATATTATAAAGTGAAATACCTAATAACACATCATTTGATACTTTTAAAACCATACTCTATTTAAAGATGAAAAAAAAACAACATAGAATACACCTCAAAATAATTAGAAACAAAAAAGAAAAAATATTTTCATAATTTGTCAGGTACCTAGAATAAATATAAGTAATTCTGGATTCCGGATGTTTCTAGTAGTAGATACCAGAAAAAAAATATGAAATCCGCCATTTTGTACCGGCGGCTATCTTAGATTTACAATGTTATTGATATTACTATATTGTATTGTCATCGGAACTAAAGGTGTGTACCAAATTTCAGATCAATCTGACAACAGGAAGGTACTTAAATTTCAATTTCTAATTTTGACCCAAATAAACAAACAAATAAATAAATACCGTACGGGTCGAGCTAAATAAAACCGTTTAAAAAAGGTGCCACAGATATTCATCGGCCCAAATACTCCGATCCCTGTTCCCGCATTGGTTTTGGAAGCATCAGTATACCAAGTTATGGTATGGTCTTTTAACTGCCGGGTAGACGTTTCTCGTTCAAAGTTGTACGGTCTTGGCATATGGAGCACTGGCACTGGAGTTCGCAACTCAATACCCCGACAAACCTATATCGTATAAAGTAGAAGGCCGGTTCTACACGATGCCGGTGGTGCATCAACGTTGCTTCCACCTTGGAACCAACGGTGGAGGCATCGTTGGCACATGTTTCGACAATATTCGGCAATTACTTACACACTAGAAACACTTAGGAACTTTTGTACTTCTAGAATCGATTTTTAACAGATATTCATTAAAGATTAAAATAACAAGTTCATCCAAGAAAAAAAAGTTTCAAGAACCGCCATCCTAATTTTTACTTCTAAAGTGCTTCGTTTGTTCCCCTAGAGAGCACCAATGAAAAATATACCCAAACCTTAATTTATAAAGCTTATTATCAAAGATCATTAAAATTTGTGATGTAAAATTCCACATTTTCGCCAATTAGGTACTATCGCTTGCTAGATTTAAACGCTTGCAGTGACCAGAAATATTTTTATAGGTACCTACTTGCAGTTTTACGTTACAGAGTGTCCAAAATACATTTTTTTCTATCAAAAATTATGCGAGGTGGTATCTCGGCAAATTTAAAACAGAAATAGCCGAAAATTAAAAAGAAAAAAAATTGTGTGTGCACTATGTATGTCTAAGGACTCCATTCGGGTTCCTCTATACACGTGCCGAGTTTGGTTCCAATCGACCCATAATTAAGAAAAACACTGAAGAATTCCATGTAGAGGCATCGGTTCGAAACGCCGAGGGTGTCATCCCTTAGCCCATCCCCAATTATGCCGAAATCGACCCACATTTTTCTTCATTATCAAATTGTCAGTCCCACCCTAATGAAGATGTAAACGAAACGTCCTATCCAACATTGCAGGGTGGGACCGTATGCAACGTCGCTCACATAGCCTACCCACCAAATTTGGTCGCGATCGGACGCCATCAAATTTTGACATGTTTTACGTCAAAACTAACTGTCCCAGTGACACGTGTCTTACAGGGTCAAGTTGGTCTTGGTCCAATCTATCGACATACCAAATTTCATTTAAATTGGACGATTTTTTGATTTGATTCATTAATGATGGGGTTTCGTAGTGCACGAAACGTTGTCCAACTATTAGGAAAAGATGGGGCTCTTCGAGTTCGAATAGATACTTTACCATATCTAGTGCATTTTTTCTACAGCGCAGAAGCGTTACCGTATCCAGAACGTGTTGAAAAAAAACTATTAGATTTCAAACTAAGCTGCTTTAAACTTAACTCTCTTTCGTTTTTTTAGCTCTCATGTAAAATTTAGAAAATGCTAGTTAGTCTCTTAGAAAAAATTGAAAGACCTAACCAGATTTGGAAATCTACCATACTTGAACCTTATCGTTATAGTCAACATTTACCTTAAGTACCTGACAAACCATTGAACTTACAGTTACAGAAAACGACAAAAACAAGTTTCAACCAATTTCTCAATCTATAATCTCCAGATCCAATTGTTTATTAACCCACCTGCTCAACGGTAGTCGTCGACTGATATCCAGGAACCTTCTTGACCGTGCTGGGTGCGGGTTTCTTCGGCGCGTATCCATTTTCCACCACAGATCCCTTCTCGAACTTCTGCAGGGCGTACTGAATACTGTTTGGCATCGGTTTGGAAGTGCGGGCGGCCGCGGCCGCGGCCAGTCGGGCTTTGTCTTCGTGCACGAAATTCTTCACCAGCTTCTCCAGGCGATTATTGTCCATCGTGGGCGCCTGGGCCAGCAGGTCGATGGACGGCTTGGCCGATGTTTGAGGTTTTAACATCGATCTGGAACAAAAAAATTATGTTCTTCAACATCGAATATAACAGCATTCTGACTAGTGCGAGACTGGTCTTGGTCATGCACAAACAGCAAGAGCAAGACTAGCGTTAAATCTGTAAGACCAAGACAAAATAAGTAAAGTTAACCAGGAAATAGCAAAAGACGATGTTTGTTTTTTTTTGTTTGGTTTAAATACGTGTGCTAAGTTGAGTATCATCTTCGGAACTCGTGACATTTTCCCTAAATCTTATACCGTCGCGCGTCGTCATTTTGATCAAGAATAATTTTGGGCCCATTCTTCACGTCTTGAGCCATGAAAGCAAAGGATACGGAAGCTCAAAATAATAACTACACCAACATGAGACAAACATCGGAAATCATATACAGTTTACTTTTACTTCCGGTACATAATCGCTAACTTGAGGTCTCGGACACCTCGACGACATATTTCTGATAAGAAGAGTCTAGCCCCAGCAAGCAACTATTATTAAGCTTGACCAATCAGGTTGGTTAGCGTGGTTATTTGGAGGGTGTTAATTCACTTGTGTTTGTCAAAAACTCTAATGTGATTGGCCAGGCTTAATAGTTGCCAGCTGGGGCTAGACACAAGTTTTCTGATATACCTACAACCACAATGCACTTAGCAAGATGCTGCTGTCCGAGAGGTCCCGAGCTCCCACTAAGCATTTGTCCTGTGTCGTTACGTTGTAAGGTTGAGAAGGTTGAAATTAAACATTTCTGAACATCATGAATTTATTTTCAATCAACGTTAATGATATCAGCTAGATCATATTGATCGGATAATGTAGGGTGCAACTGAATGCAAACAATATAAGTCAATATAGAGCAGTGATTCCCAAAGTGGTCCAGGTGGACCCCCAGGGGTCCACGGGAGACTTGCTGGGGGTCTACGTAGGCGTGAACAAAAAATGGGGGTCCATAAGATGTTAATGGGGGTCCACGAAAATTTATCTGCTTTTGATAGTAAAGAGCAAAAATGTAAGCATAGTTTTTATAAGGAACCAGATGGTTTATTTCATAGTTATTTGACTACAAAAGACACGAATTTTGTTCGTCTTTAGCTTGAAACTAAGTTACTACGAATATAATAAAATATAACTAGAGTACCTATTACAGCAATATGTTTGGGGGGGGGGGCAAAATCAAAAGTAACGTAGAATATGCTTTTTAGAGCGCCGTGTTTAACCCAAAAGCCTAATATTTAACACAATTTACAGATTTTAGAGGGGACCCGGGCCTCATGGCCCCCCTCTGTATCCGCCACTGTATACCTAATATAATTTTAAGAGCTAGGCGGTAATGAGTAAGTTCTCCAAAAAATATTATCAATTTGTCAATTATGCGTGTATTTTCAGACTAAAAGTTGGTATCGTGTTTTTGTCTTGTATCAAAAATAATTTACGATACACGTAAATCATTCTGTATCGTCTCTTATAATACAAATATAAAAATATACATCCTTAATTGTACAAATCATTAATTCTTATTAAAATCATATTTAACGGGCTAGTTACGACCAGTAGTAATTACGCTTAACACATAGTATACTGATTTATAATATGTATAGCCAACCAGTAGAAACATTTTAAATCATACTAATATAATGCCTTTTCTAAATATGCTAATGAACCACCCTCGTCCCATTTGAAAAAATTGGCGCCGGGAGGCACGTATAGCCGCCCATACTAAATATGTTAATAAAAAGTTGGTAGGCAGTTCTTTTAGTTTCAAAGTAAAGGAATTTTTCCAATTTTTTTTTATCTCAAAAACTGCGACTTTGACTGATTTTGATGTTATTATAAATTTTGTGGCAAATGTTATTCCTAATCCTAAACTGAAAACCGCGTTTCGCTAGCTACTGTAATTTTGGAGTTAAAGGTAGGATTTCCTAAAGGTAGGATTTCCTAACTGCGTCGAAACGTATGCGTTCAACGCATGCGATAAACGCGAGGTACTGGTTCAGTGCAATTATGCACAACTGATTTCCTATGTGAGCGTCTGACGCTTCAGTATCCGGCAATCGCATGCATCGGTTCATTTATGACCCAAATAACTCATTTTGAGTGAAATTAAAAAAACTTTTTTTTTGTCGATCTTAATAGCCTACCCTCGAGCCTACCATACCTATTGGTATGGTCGGCTAAAAATTGGACGAGTACATTAGGGGTACAAGTGTAGCTGAGTCTCAGATACTGGCTTTTGTCAAAGTTCTGAGATTGTATGATGAGTTATAACTCGTTATAACTCAAGAAGAGTCCTCCCTCCTAAACATTCTACATTCTATTTTAATATGGACGCCTGTAGCTATTTTCGACGTCGATAAATTATTAGCTACATTTTATTTATTACTTATGAAAAAATATTTAAGTTTTTTGAAAATTCTTATTCTGCGAGTCGTCAAATCCTACGCATGTTTCGAAAAACATTGTATAATTTATATCAATCAGTTCATGACAAACTTTAGTTTGTCAATAGATGTACGGTAGTACTTTGGTACTACAGAACATATTACAAAATAGTGATAATTGATGCTAATAATGAAGTAAGCAAAATTGAAGCAAATACATTAAATCAGTTGTATAAATAGTGTCATATATATGGTTAGTGTTATTTACAAATATCGTAAACGCATTTTTATAGATCATAAAAATTAATTGTCTAGTTAAACCGGTAGTGATGAAATACCTACTACTTATATTTTTTAATAACTAATTTACAATTTTATATGAATTTTACATCAGCGAGATGTTGAAACATAATCATAATTCGCAAAAACAGCATTATCGGTGAATTACATCGATCATTTCCTTTTTCCTGTCAGGGCTAATTTGGACAGAACCTACTTTGTTTAAGCAGATTCCGTTAATCAACTCCCTCCTCATTGTGTTATCGGAATTCCTTTGCTCCCTCTGTTACATGACATGTACTTCAAATACTTCCATATTCCATACTCTCACTCGCCATCGGATCGTGTCTAGTTCGTCCTATTACATCACTCTGCCATAATAACTTATTGTTTCACCTCTTTGCATGTGTTTATATTCATTAAGCTCCAAAACGATACAGAAATGGAGTACTTAGTGCAAAGACTTACCCAGGAGCGGATGTTGGGTCAGACCATAATCCCGTTGTGGCACGAATCCGAATGAGGCTCAAAAAAATTGTTCGAAAGTTCACTAAAAAACCCAACATGAGTTTACTGAGAAGTGAGGCACAACCTCAGACGGGATAGCATTTAAGTTGTTATCACTGTCAAGCCACCAAAGTAGTTAAAACATTATGTTATCGAGCAATTACTATATGCACTATGCAGTGACCAAGAATCAATTAATTCTGAAATAAGTAATATTAAATCGGATTAGCTTCAGAATGGTTACTCTGCGAAGTCTCTCGATAAGAGTATATCCAACTGCAAGAATGACTCAGGTGTGCCAGCCTGAAGATGTTCTCTTTCTTGACGATTCTAGATTTGAAAACAACATCAGAAGAGATCAGGAGAAGAGCCAAACGTGTGGAACTACTTTAAAGAATGTTTTAATGGAAACAAAGCCGGCATCATCAAAACAAAAGTAGGCAATAATTACATAGAGCAAATTCAAGACCAAGACTTCCTTGATCTTAGTCTTGGTTTTGCATTTAGTAAGTATTATCAAAAGTATCATCATTATAAAATCAAGTATCATCATTATAAAATTAAAGTAGTCTTGGTCTGGTTCTTGCAAGATCCAGTCTTGGTGTTGGTCTTGCTACAAGACTATTGCAAGTCCCGATTTTCTTAAAGACGTTTAGTTATTTATTAAAAAATAAATAGTATTTTTAGTAACTTTTACTTAACTAGAATTTTAAAAGTATCTTAAAAATTGGATAAACGAAGCACTTTTGTATAGAAGTAAATTGGGTCCAATTAATTTAATTTGACTTCAAAAATTCGTAAAAGTTCTATATTCACGGAATATTGGGACACCCTGTATAATCGAACATCATTTACATATTCTTTGTTGCGTAAGATTTTGTCATTAAGAGTCAATTTCACTAGTCCGAAAAAGTAGCAAAATAAGCGTTCGGCATATAACGTTTTATGTAAAACTGGCTAGGTATTTTTACACAAATGAGAGGGAAATAAAAGATATTATACTATATCCGTATTGTAGCACATTTTTAAACAACTTCTTTATTTTTAAAAGTTTGATGGTCAAACATCAAACTTTTAAAACAAAATATTCCTTATGTTTGGAACAAATTTTCTCGAAAATAAAGGCATAATTTAAAATTCCGTTACAATACGGAAATAAATTGAAGTTTTTTTATTACAGTGATATATAATTTATATAGTTTTGTAACAAATTGCTCGCTATTTTATGGCAAATGCTGAACTCTGCAAACCTTTAACTAACCTAACTTAATCAAAGCACGTGTGTTTGGAATTTTGGATGTGGCTGAACACAAGATCGGGCTCAGCCTTAGGCAGATTTCTGAAATATAATATATATTTCCTTCGGCCACACACCCACTTTACCCGAGCCCTGAGAGTGACCCAAACAGTACAGCTCTTAAGCTCCACCCGAAAACGATCTTTCATGTGACAAAACAATTTATAACAAAGCCTATTCTTGTTGCGAAATGCGCAATTCAATATCGTCCCATACTGTCCAGCTGTCCGGTTCGGCGTCCGTCGACATTGTTGATATTTTCTCGGCTTTCTGGATCGCATCCAACACGAAATCGGAATCTCCCCCGATAAAATACGCCGTCCAATGGAAACCTAATTGATTGTTAACTGGCATTTTTCATGATCAGTAGCCGTTGCTTATTGCTTGCCAATTTTTTTATCGACTGTCCATAATTATTTAAGATTTATGCAAAGGTTACAACAACTTTAAGAGAAAGGGAAAACATTTTAAAAATAAAATATATATAGGTATAATATTCGTAATACCTTCTTGGACTGACATTATCTTTAGTTTTGAAATTTGATACAACGTTT